GCTATTCAAATTTACCAGCCACTCCTTGGAAACCCTATACAGGGTCCTCACGGGTCATAACCGACTCAACGGCACTTAACAACAATAACATCTGAAAGGAAAGATAGAATTGCAGTAAAACTTGTGAAAGCCAGAAACTGTGCAAGACAGAACCCTATCAGAGAAGAAAAACTCAAATCTTTTCCACTAAAAAAATCTATAGAAAAGTGGTAAGAATGCACCCACCCAGTCAAAGGCAAAAAAAACTCATGATAGCCTAAAAATAAGGTGGTCCCGTTGAGTTCTGGCTCTCATAGATTTCACTGTGTAATAATGGGTCATAGTTACTGAGTGCTTATGTGCCAAGAAGCCCTGGTGGTACAGTGGGTTACACATGGGCATATTTGGGTTAAAAGTGGGCTAACATCAAGGTCAGAGGGTTCAAACCCATCATCTGCTGCATGGAAGAAATATGAGGCTGTCTGCTCCCATAAAGATTTACCATCTTGGAAACCCTATAGAGCAGTTCGACTCTGTCCTATTGGGTCGCTATGAGTCAGAATGGACTCAATGGCAGTGGGTTTGGTTTGGGGTTTTATTATGTACAGCCTCTAAACCAAGTGCAGGGGACATCTGGTGGTATTTAAGTTGTTGTCGTTTAGTACCGTTGAGTTGGTTCCGACTCAGAGTGACCCTGTATAGGGTTTCCTAGGAGTGACTAATGAGCTTGAACTGCCAACCTTGCAGCTCAAATTGACCTTGCAGTTCATCACATTAACCTACAATGCCACACCAGGACTCCCACAGGCTGTATAAGGCCCTCAAAATCATTTGGTCTGGCCCTGCCAAGGCAATTGCATGTGGGACTCAAAATTCAATAAAACCAAGGTCTTTTTTCATAGCAACATAAGTTATATTAAGTGACTCATCATAATAATAATGTAAATTTTGAGGAACAAGCAAGGAACATCCATTATGAGATAGACAGGACACATATGAGTACATGACAGGACACACACATATGCCTCTTGTCGGCTGCCCGCGGCCCATCTGCCTGTATTGCAGTGACTCAGAGGCCAGTCGACACCAGGCAGGCTGGGAGTGTACACGCTGTGAAAGTGTTAACACTTTGGCGAAACTACGGCAATTCAGTGATGATGAGACAGATTTGATGAGATGATTCCTTGCGACTTTGATGACCTTGTCTCAGATGATTGATGAGGATATTGTCGACTTCTTTGTCAACACAGATGATAACGCCAATACACTCTTTATCCACATATCCACAATCAATAATCCTAGAAAAAAACTGAATCTCAGATGAAGATTAAGAAAATTACAGTACACAGAAAAGACCTCAAGAGTCAATGAAATGAATGTTGGCTGTTCCAAATCCAAGATGCAGGATTAAAACACCGATCAGAGCAAAATAATTGCATCACTGGTGACACACACACTGGATAGCTATTAAAATTTTGATATGACATCCTACAAAGAAAAAAAAAGTTGATGCAGAGTGTTGATCTTTCCAAGTGAAATGGACAAATAATTATTTTTTTGGTTGAAGTCAAAGGCAAACCTGTGTGCCTAGATTGTGGTGATGCATTAGCAATAATGGGGGGAAAAACCAATCTGGAGCACCCTTAGAGCTCAAAACATGCTTAATTCAGTGAACTTGGAGGCCAAATGCATATGGATAAAATCAATGCTCTTCAGTGGAGTTTGGAATCGAATCACAACAAGCCGCTTTAAGTAAGCCTTGTTGTGCAGAGACAACATTATTCAGATGAGTTATGTGGTTAGTGCTAGAGCTAATCATAAAGAAGCTGAGTCCTCATGTAGAATGTGTGGTGACTGCTACGGAGTTCGTAGCACTAAAGTAAAATTGTTTCAGAGTGTTAGTTTGTTTCAGGGAACCATCTCAAATTGGATTACTGATTTAGCATAAGATATTGAAAAAACATTGATGGATTCTGCAGGAGATTTCCATTTTTTTTTCTCTGGCTTGTGACGAGACAACGGACATAACAAATACTGCCCAACTGGTCATTATGGTTCATGGGTTAACTGCAGAGTTTGACACATAAGAGGAACTGCTGTCACTGGAAGCCATACTACAAGGTGCTACAAGATGTGAGGACTTGTTTGAGAGACTTGTTTTATCAATGAAAATCTTGAGCTAACATTTGAAAAGTTAAGTGGTCATACTACAGTCATGGTTGGCTGACAAAAAGAGCTAATTGCATTTGTCAGCAAAGAACCGAATCATCTCAGTCTGATCCAAGTGATTGCACCAAGTGTATGCCACTGCATCAAACACCAAGAAAGTCTCTGTGCACGGTTGTTGAGGTTAAACAATGTGATGTCAACAGCAGTGTCATGCATAAATTTTGTCAAAAGCAGAGGGTTTAACAACCACCAGTTTAAGGAGTTACTGAATGATCTTGACTCTGAGTACGGTGATCTTGTTTATCCCTGTGAAGCGTGCTGGTTGAGTCATGGGAACGTGATCATAAGGTTTTATGAACTGAGGATGAAGTCAAGTAGTTCATGGAGATGAAGACAAACACTGCCAGGGAACTCAATGATAGCAAGTGGCTGTGTGATCTAGCGTTCATGGTAGACATTACCAAGTACCTCCCAGAGCTGAACATCAAGCTGCAGGGCCCCAACTAGCTTCTGAGCCCTTTGCTATCAAACATGAAATCATTTGAAGCTAAATCAAGGCTGTGGAAAGGACAACTCTAAAGGAATAACAATGCATTTCCCCACTCTGGAAGGGCAAAAGCACTTGAATATGCCGGTGAATATGTGAAGCAAATTGAGGCACTTAATGAATGAAAGATTCAAGGTCATGGAAAGTAAACAAATAGATTTCAACATCTTTGCTACACCATTCAATGTGGAACCAGCCGATATAGCGGATAACCAACAATATGAAATCATTCAGCTGCGAAGCGATGATGACCTGAAAGCTAGTTACAATAACCTCCCACTGCTTGAGTTCTATACATGTTACATAAGCAATGATGAATTTCCCACTTTGAGGAGACAAGCATTGAAATAGATATGCATCTTTGTTTGGAACAACTTACTGCTGCGAGCAGTTCTTTTCCAAAACTCACCATCCCAAAGAGTCAACTGACTGACTGACACAAACCTGGAAAAGCAGTTGCAAGTAGCAACACCATTAATACCAGCTGACATCAGATACCTCACCAAAGAGAAGTAGTTCCGGCCATCACATAAGGGGTAAGTTAATTAAATGTTTGACCAAATATAGCAGCTAATTTTTAAGTTGATAATTTCGTATGGCCTGCAAATGATGTTTAAATATCCAAATGGCTCTTGGCAGGAAAAAGATTCCCTACTCTTGCGCTAAACTAAGAATTTTACTCAGATTATCTCATTTAATCCTAAAACTAGGCCTATTATCATTCCCATTTTTTAGATAATGATACTAAAATACAAATTAGATAACTTGCACATGGTCATACAACTAGTAAATGGTAGAATACAATCCTAACCTAGGTACACTATCTGTAGAGTACCTTCTATTCTGTGCTATGGTCAATGGACGGGTAGCAGGCAGGCAGTGTGAGGTAGTGATCAACAGTGTAAACCCTAGAACACAATGCACATGGGTACAAACCGTGCTCCAATACTTATGAATTGTGTGACCTTGTCTGTGAGCTTAATTTTTCTCATGTGTAAAACAGAAAATAACTAATAATAATAAAACTACGTAATAGTTTTGGGGGGAAATTAAGCAACATAATCATGACAAAAAGTCCTTGATACAATGCCAAGAACACAGTAATCAGAAATGCTACTACTATTATTATTATTAATGGATACAAAAAAGATAAATCAAAATTTTATGAGGGAAATAGCCCCATTCACAAGAGACTCTGGAGCTTGAGGGGGATATTTGAGTGAGTCTTCCACATGTAAATTTTTTTTTGACACCTTCTTTTCTGGTCTCTCTCCATTCTTTCTAATTAGGATAGGGAAATTATTTGTTCCCCTCCTCTGTCAATTCCTTGAAATGTGGGCATTTGTCTGGATCAGAGCTGGCCAGTCCCTCTCCTTAGAAATCCCCTCTTGGTTCCCAGGATCGAGAGGAGTTGAAAAATGTAGGGGGCTATTCCAGGTCTGGCTCCCTCCAGCTGTTCCTCTGACCCAGGTCTCAGACATAGGAAAATGGCAAATAGGGGAAGGGGCAATGCTCACTGAGCCAGGACGTTGAAGCCCCAGTGTGCTGAGATATGGGGTAGAAATGACGGGCCTCTTCCCAAGGAATCTTCCCTCTCAGCTCTGCTTGTGCCTGTGGAGGAAGTGGTTCCCAGATGATGGGTGGGCCAGGAAAGTCTGCCCCAGGCTCTCATGGTGCTCTTAGGGGGGGTCGTCTTCACTACCGTCCCCACCAGGGGTCTTAGTACCAAAGAAAAGAGAAGTGGGATGATGGACAAACCTAGATAAAGGGGCACAACTCCTTTCTCTTGACCCACCCCCACCCCGAACCCTGATCATCACTTCTGAGCCCCAGTCCTAGGCTTGATGATGCAAATGCCACCAAGGAGACACTAAGGCAGACCCTCCCTTCGGAGCTGACAGCACCAGACCCCTTGTCATGGCCAGACTACAAGCTGCTTCAGTTCTAACAACTGAAGCCAAGGAAAGCAGAGGAGGGAGGAAATAACTGAGGGGGAAAGAGGGAGATAGGGTCAGATTCCGCAAGAAAGAGGGGGGCAGAGGGAATGGACTAGACACAGAGGGGAATTTCTGAAGAGAGAAAGTGAAAGCTTCTGGGACCATAAATAGGAGGCCGCCTCAGCCACAGACTCACAGAGGCTTTTACTCACATACTCCCAAATCCCCTTACATCCCCGAAGGGCGCCTGTGTGCTTCCCATCGCTCCCTTGAGCTCCCAGCCAGGCCTCAGCCTCACACACACTCCTGCACACACCAGACTCGCTACCACTCACGCACTGCTTTCTCTTTGCCCCTGCCCACCCTCCATGGCATCCTGCACAATCCCGCTACTGGTCCTCAGCCTGCTGGTTCTTTGGACTTGCCCTGGTAAGACTGAGGAGAGCACTAGTGGGGGGAGGGGGGCTTGGGGAGGTGTGATGACACTGCTTGGCACTCCACGTGGGGCTCGCTGTGGTTCTGCGTCAATATCTAGGGGGCCCTGTACTCTGTGTATGTCTGTGCAGTGTGGGGGTGCTTGGGCCCCAAAACACAAATGTGTGTCTGTCTCTTGGGTATCTGTCACTTAGTGTTTCCCTGCGCCTACAACTGCGGGCTCTATTTCCTGCTGCCTCAGTTTTCTAAGCAAGAGGAAAGAATAATGTATCATTGCTTACGGTAGGGAGAATGGAGCCACTAGGCATGGGTGATAGTTAAAATACTAGCAATTCATAGGACACAGTCTTTAACTGTGACCAGCATTAACTCTTTATTTCTGGATTGTATGACATTGAGAGGTAATCAGAACAGCAGGAAGGCCTTTGTGGGACTCAGCAGTGGTTATTTAGCAACCAGTTTAGATGTATGTCAATATATTTAGCAACTAGTTAGGGCCACATTAGGAATGCTGGTGGTGCTGTAGGATAAGCACTGGACTGCTAACCACAAGACTGGCAATTCAAACCCACCAGCTTCTCTGCAGGAGAAAGATGACACTTCTGCTCCAGTAAAGATTTACAACCTTGGAAATCCTATACAGGGCTGGTACCAGCTGGAACCAATTCAAGGGTACCTAAAAACAACAACAGTGCAATGTTGGTGTATACTCGCTGATTACTAGTTCTAATTGTTCCCTCCATATAGAGGTGGACTTAATCCCAGTTAGGGTTGTGGCCTCCCCTCCACAGGGTCTCTATGTCCTGACACCACTTTTCCTCTATCCCTACCCTCCAGGTCTGGGTGCTACCAATGATGCCGAAGACTGCTGTCTATCTGTGACCCAGCGCCCCATCCCTGGGAATATAGTGAGAGGATTTCGCTACCTCCTCCTCAAAGATGGCTGCAGGGTGCCTGCTGTGGTGTGAGTTGCAAGGGGGATATCTAGCCTCATCTCTTCTATCAGCCCCTGGTGATACCACTTTGTTTTTATCTCTCTTCTCCTTGCTAAGTTCAACTACTTCAAGGTAGTCCCTGAAACAGGTCCCAGACATGAGCCCAGCCTCTACCGGTCATCCCAGAGCCTTCCAGGAAGCTGAGTTCCAGGGCTCCATTCAATGATCTCTGATTCCAGGTTCACCACGATGAGGGGTCACCAGCTCTGCGCACCCCCAGACCAGCCCTGGGTGGACCGCATCATACGGAGACTGCAGAGGATCTCTGCCAAGGTAAGCCTGGCCCTCTCTTCTCCACAGTTATGTCTCCTCCTTCCAAGTTGCAGTCTAAGACCCCAATCCATGACCCTGCCTCTTCTTCCTCTCCCAGAGCAAGAGCTACAGCAGTTAGTCCACTCAGCCCCCAGGAAACTCTGAAAGTGTCTGAGTGGATGGATGTGAATCACGGCAGTCCTGAGGAACCAAGGACCAGAGGCGAAGGCCAAGCTCCAGCTCCCACACCAAACTGATCTAGACAGGGTGGGGCCTGGCATGTCACTGTGAGTGTGAGTGTGAGTGAAAGGTGAGTGTGGCTGTGGCAGTCTTCATGCCCAGACTGCATTGCTTCCAATAAAGACCAACCAGTACTCAACAGACCTGTCTGTTGTCTGTTGTCTGTTGGCTGCTGGCTGTTTGTCAAGGAAGAAAGGGAAAGATGGAATGACAGATCTGTTTCTGCTCTGCAACCTGATAGAACTTCACCAAACACCTCAATGTTCTTAGGATCAGCCCCCATCATCAGGACCCTGTCTCTCCTCTCTCCGTAGCCCTACCACGCTCCAGGGTTCAACAACACTAATGTGTCAGTTCCCTGAATGGGCAAGTCTTTCATCAGTCTTTGTTCTCCAAGGCAGGTGTTCAACCAACCAGGTGTCTCAGGGATCAGATGTCATTGGGGAGAAAGGAGTTGTCTGGTACTGGTTCCCATGGCTAGACCGAGGGCCCACAGCTCTACTGCCTGAGGGGGAAAGCTCACTCACCTATGCCATTGTGTCTGTCTGGAACACGCTACTCTCTCTTCTGTCCCCTGGCTTCCCATTTGGAGTTGCATAGGTCATCCTCCAGGAAGTCTACCCAGACCCAGGGCCCTCTGATCTTCCCCTTTCATGGTACTCATTACTACTCTGAGTTATTTGTTTGTCAGTCTTTCTGGAAGACAATGATTGTTTACTCTAGTTTCTGCTGTCTACCTGGTGTCCAGCATACTGCCTGGCACATAGCAGTCACTCAAATATTTGTTGTTGCTGTTGTTGTTAAGTGCCGTTAAGTTGGTTCCAACTCATAGCAACCCTGTATAGGGCTTCCCAGGAGTGGCTGGTTGGTTTGAACCGCCAACCTTGTGGCCCAGTGCTTACCCTATAACACCACACCAGGACTTAATAAATAAGTGAGGAAAGGTGAGATGGTCATGGGTAGGACCCATCTGTTCACATAAAATCTGGCCTCTAGGCCAGTCCTCTCATCTCCCTCCACTAATCTGAGTAAGAGCCAGTCCATCTGGGCAATCCTGGGGTCATATCTCTCAGGGACACTGACACACAGAACTGGGATCCAGAGGTCAGAGATGGGAGGAAGAAAGAACGCTCCCCATCTCTACAGCCTACATAGGCTTCAGGGTCCAGAGGCAACACTAAGACCGGGAGAGTCACTGGGAAGGAGTCTCAGCTCTGGATGAGGGAAGTCTTGTGACACTGGGAGCATCCCACAGGGTTGTTCTGTGAGACGTGATCTCCTCATGCTGGGAAGCTGGGTGACCTCCAAACTATGGCCTCTAAGGGCCTGTCTATGCCACTGGGGTCAGAGAGAGGCTAGGAAGTCAGAGTGGAAATCCTGCCAGGGAGAGGGGTCATCATTATACCACATACCTCAACTGACAACAAACCCAGGCCTAGGCAGGTTCTGAAAGGGAAAAGTGATGAGAGGCTATGCCAGCCCCTCCTCACTGGGTTGGGAGCATAGTATCTTCTTCCCCAGTGCTTCCAAAGACAGGTGTTCAAAACCCCAGGTACGGCAGGTCTCAGAGTCACAGGGGACTAAGGGAATGGAGATAGCACTCAGGAGCAGCTGCCTGACTGGAAAGTTTAGCTCTGCTGCCTGAAAGAAAATACCTAGCTGTTCATGCATCCACGCATCTATGCATTCAGCTGATCCTGTATCCATTAGCCTCCCTCACTCCATCCATCCATTCATCCATCCATGCATCCACCCACCTGCCCATCTGTTCATCTAACCATCCATTTAGCCAGCCAGCCATAGAGTCTCAGAACCCCCAGTATGAATCCCCTTTAAACCCTATGCCCTGCACTTCAGAATACAGAGGTGTGAAATGTGAGGGGGGCACATTGTCTCAAATTCTTCTTAGCTCCCACTGAGCCAAGAGGAAGTCAGTGTACCACAGAAGCAGACACAAACCCTCCCCCTGGGCCCTCAGGGGTAAACACAGAGTAGAGAGGCTAAGGGTGAAAGCTCTGAGGAAGGTGCTACCAGGGCAGAGCCCTTGAACCCCATCTCCCTGACAATGCCACTGAGCACTACACAAAGAAATCTTGAGGTTGGTACCTGGGCCCAAACTCTGGCCAAGTTCCTTCCTCACTCCTCAATCCAGAGCCTCAGTTTATCCATTTGTCAAATGGGAGCAGGGTTTGATTTTTAAGAGTTCTTCTAAACAAAGTCTTGGCTCCTGAATCTTTGGGTCTCAGCTAAACTTCCAGAATTCACTAAGTTCCCCTAAAGTCATGCAGACTCAGAAATTTCTCTACTTTCTGGCCATTCTCTGGGAACAAAAAGGAAACTGAGACTCAGGAAGAGGAAAAAACCTAGGAGCTGGTGAAGGCCTTGGACCGAACAATCCCCTACTTAACCCTGGAGGCTTGAAGAGTTTGGAAGCAGACTGAGGGAGTGGACACCAGAGCCCTACAGGGAGCAGGCATGTAACACTTCTTACTCCACCTTCAGTGAATATCATCCTTCTGTGTTGCTCTCATTCTCTTTCCCACCCACTGATCCTCCCACATCAACCACACCAACCCCCCTGAACACTGGCTCTCATCTCATAAGGGTTTAGCCCAACAATCTGAGGCTTGTTCTGTCCCAATCAAACATTCTCAGGGCTGCAACTCCAACTAGTCAACATCTGCATCATGTTTCACTGTGATTCATTGCCAAGGGCTATGTCTTTATTTATCCTGAATGCTGACAGGCTGGGAGACTACAGGCCTACCTCTGACAACTATAAGGCTGTCAGCTTTCTGAGAAGTAGCCTGGTCCTGGCTTCCTAGCCAGAATGTCTGCCTCTAAGGGAACATCTTCCTCTCTATGGCATATGACGCCTGCTCAAGGCTTGTTGCTGAGTGACATTGCTGTACCCTGAAGGCCTGTGGTCTCAGCTGCTGGTATATCATCCCCTAAGGGGACCTGGCATTCCTTCTCAGAGAGTATGTGGGCTGGATAAAAAGTTCCCTGTCTGTCTACTGAGAGAGCATCCAGGGAAAGGGATCGGGCCTTGTCCATCTCCATGGAGAAGATGGCTCTGCAAAGGACCTGGCACAGAACAAATATCAATACACATTTGATAAACCAAAAATAGAATTGAACGTGGCCCTTTCCCACTATGACCTCCCTCCCTTGTAACTGGAGCACATCCAGTTCTCAAGACACCACGGGGCTGTCTCTGGAATCACTGTTCTGCAGTGTGGGTAACGGAGTCTGATCAGAGCCAGCCCCATACGGTTTTGATAATGTTCTGATCATTTCATGTTCAACTTCTCGGTAAGCCCCCACCACATGCCACCCCCTTCTTCTGACTTACGGAAAACTCAGAAACAACAGGAAAATCCTGGAAATAACAATCTCATGAAGGAGCAGGACTCCCAAGTGGGGAGTTTCCTCCAAGAGCCCCTCTGTAGAAGGAAGCGGGTATTTCTCTAGTCAGAGAACTTCTTAGATGACCCTTGAGACTTTGTCCACATGGAGGGCCATGGCTTTGTGGTACTAACTCATCACTAGCTATTACTATGGGCTGAACATTGCTTTGAGTGTTATTATCATTATGAGGTTGCAGATGAAGAAACTAATACAGAGGTTAAGTAACTTGCCTAAGGCTGAACAGCTAGTGAAATAGAGCTGGGGTTCCTGTCTGGGCAGGTTGGCTAACATCTATACTCTTAACGACCATGCATACTACTTTTACAAGTTGACCCATCTAAGTAAAAATGGAGAACAATATGGCAACAGAGCCAAGTCTAAAATAGTAGTCCTCAAGTAATAGGAAGAGTCATTCTTTTGAGGTGCTGACCATGTGCCAGACTCTAAGCTGAGTCCTTTATTTTCATCATATCACTATATTCTCAGACAATCCAATAAAGATGGCATGTTAGTTTAATTTTATGTATGTGGGAATAGAAGCACAGAGAGGGAGAGGGGCCTCCCAAGTCCACTCAATTAGTAACGGGGTAAAGTCAGGACAGCAGTCTAAGTCTGCCTGATGGTAGCATTTGAGCTGAGGGCTGGGGGCTAGGCTGTCTAGTTGGGGTGGAAAGGTTTGGCTTAGTTGGAAAAGCTGGGGGATATAATTGCAAACAAGATAGATATGGTCTTGGGCTTCATGGAATAAGCCCAATTATTCTAATAAGGGTAACAATGCTCTCCCCCAGAAAACTGGGTCCCTTGTTCTGCATTCTTTGTTTCACAGGACCCTGCTCTGGCCCTCCTCTCATATCCCAAAGCAAAGAGACAGGGTCAAAGAGGCATATCCACTTAGAGCTCATGCTTCTTCTTCTAGACCACATTTCAGAAACTGGAAACCAAAGAATTATTTGCCTAAGAAGTCCAAGCAGTATCCTGGGTCCAGGCAGTAGAGCCGTCCTCTTCCCCAGGTCTGCCCTTTCAAGGATGGACCATTTCACTGATGTGCACACTACCAGGTCCAGAGGATGCCCAAGAGGTAGTAGCTATTTGCAGAGAGTGTGAAAAGAGCTTGTATGTATGGGAATGTCTACACTCAAGCAAATAAGGTTCCTCATTGTGCAAGTCACAGCTGAGGATAGCAAGAGGAGGGATGGGAAGAGAAGGGGGACAGGTAAAGGGGTGCAGTTTAGCTCTTCCCCCACCATCTCATTACAGCATGGAACTCTGAGGAGACCAAGAAATCTAAATTTGAACCTGGTCTTCAAGGTATTTTGAATGTATGGTCTTAAAGATAGGGAGATTTTTATTTAACGGTTTGTAAGTTTGATTTATAACTTTTCAATATTTAGATATTTGGTATGTGGGCCTCCATTAGTACTGTTGCTCCAAGCCCCACAAATGTTAGGTGGTGAGCCTACCAGATGCTACCTCTGGAATCATAACTAC